CAGTTTCTTCATTTTGCCTACAAAAATCACCAATTTTAGTAAATAACATTACCTTTCAAACTGTCTTGTGCTCCTTTGGTATTCACAAAGCTATGTATTGCACTAACCTACTGAAGGAGTTAGGGATGTATCCATACCCTTTTGTAAGCGGGGGAATGGTCCCGCTATTGTGGGGAACTTTCCTGGCTTCTATACACCCTGGTGAAATGAACCAGCGAAAGGATCTGAGTCCCCGCTCCCACTTCCTTTACCCCACGGCTTCTTGATCCTGAGGGCTCCCCCTCCATTCTCCTGAGTAGCAGAGCCCTTGGAACCCCAACAAGGCTGGGCCCAGGTTTCCTGGGGCTTAATCCCTGACCTTGTAGTCACTAGGGGCAGGAGTTAGGGTGTCCCCACTCCGAGGTGCTCTCTTTACACTGCAGGCCTTCTTGGCCCAGTGACCACTTCATAAGGTTCAAAGCAAATACAATTTATTAAACAACAACTGATTAAAGAGAAAATAAGAAAAAATGAGAATGGTTAAATGAGAACACACAGCTCTGCTCTGTAGCACAGGGACATCAAAACAGCAGCCTGCAGAGTATAAGGACAGTCCATAGTCTCTTTCTTAGAGGCCCTGGATATGCTGCAGGGGGAGCTACAGGCTGGACACGCTAGCTCTGGTAGTGACCACACAGTCTCAAGCTCGAAGTGGCCAGACCCCTCTCCCAGTCCAGAGCCTTTCCCCACACTTTGCTGGTCCCAGGTGCTCACCACATCCAGCTGCAGGCTGTGCTGCTTGGCCAGTTCCAGCTCCTTGTGTTGCTTCTCTGTTCCTTTTTGCTCTCTGAGCCCTGCCAGTCTGCTGCTCAACACAGGGTCTGCATTCCTTGTGCTCTGTATGCCTGGCTCTGCTGCTGCAAAAACTGCCCCTCAGCACAGCTTGCACTCCTCTTAGCAGTGTCTCAGCTCTCTGTTCCTTTTGTAGGACTTCTTCATACAGCTTGCACTGCTCTTTTCAGCTCTCTGTCTTTGCAGGACCTCTTCTGCACACAGCTTGTTTGTTCAGAGAGAGAGAGAGCCAGAACAATCCCAGCTCACAGGGAGGACGGGGCCTGGCCTCTCCCCTTCCTCACTGGCCTGTCCAACCTGTCAATCAGGCTGAGCTGGAGTGTTGGCTGCTTTTCATTGTCTCTGGGGTCAGTCAGTCTCATGAACTCTTCCCCTTCAGATACTGCGAGCTGGCAAACCAAAAACTCCCACAGAGTTTTAGTAAGGGGTAACAGTCCCCTTACACTTTCATTAAAGACAGACTCATATTATCGTCTTCAGAGACCACAGAAAAAATTGTTAAGGACCCTCTGTAATTCAAGCATAAGGATTCTTGGTAAACTTAGAGCTCCATTATCTGTTTTTCACGAGGGGTCATCCAGCTAGGGGGAGACAAGGAGAAATTGTGCCTTCCTGAAACAGTAGAGATTGAAAAGATCCCTACATATTCTTGACAGTGTCACAAAACAGAAACCACACATCTGTCTTTACTTGCATTTATCTTCTGTCCAAGAAATGATCAGTGCTCAAGAGATATAACAATACATTACAAATCTTCAGGGATTCCTATAGGAGCCATTCCCGATAAGAGATGATGTAAAGGAAGGAGAAGAAAGACAATCCCTCAGTTAATAATTTCCCTTCCATTGTAGGGAGACCTTGGGGCATGATACACCTCAGGCCCTCCTGTTCCCTGTCTGTAGCATGTAGTAGTCTAATCTCCTGTGGGCATAATACTTTGGTGTAATTTTGGTGGCTGTGGCTTGTGGGGGGTGCTAGGTGAGGTTGGGGCACTATCATATACATCAGATCAGATTAGTTGATTTCATAATTCCTTCTGGCTTTAAACTGTATGATTCCATGATGACTGGAAATCACGTAAGATGTCAGTATTGTCCTTTCATTACCTAGTCCTTGAAATCTTGTCTGATAGCAGTCTTTCAGATTGGGGAGTACACATGTAGTATCAAAATACAAAGAAAGATAAAAAGGTCAGAGGCAGATTCCTGTACAACAACTTGAAAGAGATCTGGATCATTAAGCCTACTCTTTAGCATTTCTATGAGTGCTAAGTGAAAGAGCATGTTTCTAGTTCAGACAAAAAGTCCCACATTTTTATCATACAAAAATCAGTAATAGAGCACAAAAGGTTCAAGCCTAAATGCTGCAACAAGACATATTTTTTTCCTGAACAAATTTCAGATGGCCTGGCCTCCTTTAAAATGATCCAAGTAAAGAAATCACTGAACATATAACGAGACTGGTTAAATTATCTACACACAGTCAATATATAGCATAGTCCCTGAATCAGAAAGTATTCTTTCTGGTATTGATAGAGCTAAGTCACCCCAAGTCCATATATATGCATCCAAGTGAAATTCAGTGGTGTGGCTCTTCTTCACAGGGAAGCAGATCACAGATTACTGAGGCCACACTAACTCTCAAATAGCTGGACTAGCTTCTTCTCTCTCTTGCCACTAGAAAGAAAGCAATTTGGTAGGTAAGAGGAAACCGATATTATTATTATTATGCAAATTGGCCAAAATGGTATTTAGATCTAGTGGAATCTACAAAAGTCCCTGCACCATCTTTCCAGCAAGCAGGATCTGTTTCAGTGTCTGCTTCTGCATTCTGTCCCATACTGACTAAGCCTAAAACTGTACTCAGAACTAAAAAGAACTGAACAAAAGATTAGATCAAGATCATCTTATTTGAAGAAGTGGGTTTTGCCCATGAAAGCTCACACTGTGTTTAGTTTTTAAAGTTACAGATTAAGATGGCTATCCCTTTGGGACTTTTGAACAAATGGCATACATCTTCAAAGTAACACTAACCTCATTCAGGCTGTCATAAGCTCTGTCTACTCAAGCTTTTACACAGAATGCCCGTAATGGTGTTTAAAATAAAAAAAATCAGCACCAGCTCTCTCTTGATTTCTTGCACCTTGACTTGAATCTTAGATTCCTTCCATAGTATCTCATGTCTCAGCTTTAAACTATGCCATAAACTTATGTTCATCTAAATATCTGATGTCATTTAAGTAGCTTACAGTAGTCCAACCCAATCATTAGGTGTATCTTTCTTATCTAGAATTGGCCCAAAGTGGTACAAGTTGTGAACCATCCAGTGGCCTGATATGGCCTTTTTATTTCTTTTCTTTGAAAACTTTCTTCTTGGTTGTAACCAGATTGGATACACAGCTTCTTACAATATCTTCCATGATGACAAAGTAGTTATCGGTTACCCAAGCTAACTCTTTCCTGCCTTTATAGGAAATCATTTAGTCTTTTACTTTGAATCTTCAACACCTGAAAGTAAAAGTACAGCATATGCCAGAACAGCAATTAAAATATTCCTTTGAGCTGATCATTATAGAAAAATAACATCTTTATTCATTTCCATTCATCCTAAATGTCTAGCCTTGAATGCATCCAAATACTCTGTGGCTAGTTGGATCAAATAATGTATCACTGAAATATATTAAGCCACAGATTGATGCCAAAAGAGAGGGGAAGAAACTATTCATCTTATTTCATAGTAACATCCTGATTAGAAAGAGCATCAGCTGCCACAGTGGAAATCTGTGAAGCTACCATCTTGTCATCCATCGGCACTATTATATAGCAGTACAGGCAGAAAAGTGTCTCCAAGCTATGTTGTCTCAAAATAGATTAATACCATTTTAGGGAAGGGGAAACAGTTTGCTTCTGTCCTACTTATGTCTTCCTTTCTCTAATATTTTCTTCCTGCTCACTACATCCCAAATGTCTTGGACTTGGGGAACTTTCAGGATTGAGAACGGACAATTTACCAAATTACTGCTTTTCTGGGTCTGACCTGTCCCAGTGTCCACTTCACTCAAGATGAGTTTTTCAGGTATGTTGATGATAGTCTCTGCAGGATCTGACTTTTTTAGTTAATACGGTTGAATTAGGCATTATGGTTGTGTGTTTAATTTAATAAGGATTCATTGTTTTCAGAAAGCATTAGATGCTCATATCTAAAGTAATGGCAGAAGGGGCATGGCCATCCCTGGTGTCTCAGGAACACGGCTGAACTGCCTCTGAATATACGTATATTGTACATATTAATTGAAGCTGTCTTTTGTTTGATTAATTTCCACAAATATATATGTCAGTGTTCAGATTAATAGCAGTAGTGCAGCCAATTGTATATTAAAGTAAATAAATGAAATAAACTTAATTCATTCAGTGTTAAGACTAGGACTTTAGAACAGCAGTATCCAGTAACTTTTACGTTATATTCCCAAAGCTCTGCATTACTTACATGTTAAGTCACAAGTTAAACTTATGCTGTAATAAAAATATTACATATTTGCAAAGAGGTACAATTACTGTTGTTAGAACTTAAAAATCCCTGCATTTTATGTTTTTAAAATGTCAATCTTAACACTACATGAAACTTTTTGCATTATGTTAATTTTAAGTTAATGTTGGGTGATAGTGACATGTAAAGAAACAGAAGTGCATCATTTTATAAAAGAAGTCCTAGAAATCGTTTCATGCCAAGGAATTTTTAAAGTCTGCTTTCCAGATAATCATTCCAATAACACCAATCATCATGTATTCTTTTTTTAATGATGGTTTAACTTGGTATAACTAATTTTCTTGCATTTGATCCCAAATTCAAATGTCTGAAAAATAAGGTTTTTTTCCCCCTCTCGTTCTAATTCTTGGTAAAAGATGATTTCTTAAGTCTCTGATCTTTGGTTCTGACAGCTGGTTAGCAGTTTTTCCTTTTATTTAGAACATAACAGATGCAATTTGTACAACTTCCTGGTTTTAGAAGATTTTGTATCATTTATAATTTATGAATAAGTCATAATAGGATCCCAGGATTTAGGTGCCAGCATTTAAAAAACTTCATGTTTATAGTAATTAAGAAATCCAAGGTAATAGAAGTCAGTTTATAAAATATTAAATTTGTAATTTTATTTTTTGTTGTTTCAGAGGCCGTTTGTTTATTATTTCCACTAAAGCAGGATCCCTTGGAATTAATCTGGTGGCTGCTAATAGGGTGATTATCTTTGACGCCTCTTGGAATCCATCTTATGATATTCAAAGTATCTTTAGAGTTTACCGCTTTGGACAGAACAAACCTGTGTTTGTGTACAGATTCTTGGCTCAGGTATGTATGCTTTGGATGTTTCTCATTCATCCTTTAAAGCTCAGATCCTGATGTCTTTTCTGTAAAGACCGATGCATACATTCTTAAGGAGTCTTGTTGAAGCCGGGGGGGAGGGGGGAGGCAGGAAAAGGGGGCGCAAACAGGAAAGGGAATCCACCAGTATAGATCAGATAGTAGAATTGGGGGCTTAATATTGCTAAACTGTTAAAAAGTTGCAAACATTTAAGTCCAGAAGGGTCCATTAACATCAGCTAATCTGACCGACTGCATAATGCAGGGGTGTCCAAACTTTTTTCAAAGAGGGCCAGATTTGATGAAGTGAACATGCGTGAGGGCCGACCATTGTGCCTGACATTCTTTGAACCATTAAAATTAAATGCAAATTAACTATTTTATGCAAAGTTTATTGCAAACGGCATACTTTTCATTTCGTCACATGGATGACAAATCTAAACAGGTGTTAAATCACTCTGCCTTTCATATCTGAAGGCCAGATGAAAAAAAAAATCCAGGAAGCTGAAATATATGTCAGGAACATTGTAAAGTACATTACATATTATTGGTAATAAAGGTTGTCTGTCAACTTTTAAGTTCAAAAAATATGAACAGGAACATAACACCAAGTATATATGTTGTGTCCAAATATATTTATAACTGATTTAGACCAACTGACATTAACTGAGATTTTACAATGTATTCATCTCAATACATATGGATTCGTAGGGGGCCATAAAAGATAGATATTGCCAAATTACCTGTGGGGCCGTATTAAACCGGAACACGGGCCGCAATTGGCCCGCGGGCCGGACTTTGGACATGCCTGGCATAATGCATACAATAGATTTTCACCCATAATTCCTGCATCAAGTTCACAGCTTTTAGTTGAGCCAGAACATATCTTTTAGAAAGTCATCTAATCCTGATTTAAAGACTCTCAAATGATGGAGAATCCATCACATCTATAGATAATTTGTTCCTATTATTATTTAACTTCACTGTTTTAAAAATGTGTGCCTTATTTCTAGTCTGACTTTGTCTGGCTCGAGCTTTAAACCATTGGCTCTTGTGCGTTTTTCTGGTAGGTTAAAGAGCCCTCTGCTATACACATTTTTCTCCATTTAGCTGGTTATGGGTCTTAATCAATTCACCTCTTAATCTTCTAATTATTTAGTAGTTTGGGCTTTTTTAGTCTCTTACTCTTAGTTTCTCCATAAATCATTCTTGTAGCTTTTATCTGAATCATTTTTCAGTTTGTCAACATCCTTTTAAAAATTGTGAACATCAGAACTAAACACACAATTCCCATTAAATCTATATAGAATGCCAATGCAATATACAATACTTCCCAATTTCTGCTTCATATTGCCCTGCTTATACATTCAAAGATCACAGTAGTTTATCCACCACATTGCACCAGCAACTCATGTTCAGTTGAACTCTGAACCATGTCCAGTAAGGTTTTTTTAAAAGCTGTTGTTGAGTGTGGCTCATCTGTTTTTCTCATTTACAGTGAAACCTTTGTTATCCGGCACTCTGTTAACCAGAAAACTTTGTTAACCGTCATTGCCCCCAGCCACAATATTGTCACATCTTCAGGCACACAGGCCTCGCTTGGATTGCCATGATTGGCTGAACAATTTGTTGTTTAAGAAGTACTAATCATCTTTAACTCAAAATATAAATGTGAGACCAACTGCCTCACACTACAAAACTACCAATATTAAAAACTTGAGTTTTACTATTATTGTCCATTGGCTTTTCCTAAGTTGATGAGAACCTCAGTTAACCGGAATTTTTAGATAACCGGAACGCTTTAATCCCCGAGCGTGCCAGATAATACAGGTTTTACTGTAGTATGTGTTTTGGTTTTGTTTAACTTAAAATAAGGTGAACAATGCAACGGGATTACCAGTTTTTTTCATGTTATAATTTAGGGAGGTTGTGCAAAGGCAGATATCCTCTGGGAGCTAAAGAAGTTAAAATATATTGATTTACTCTAATAAATACTCATGCAACATGAGTTTTATCAGCAGCTCTGTTCCCTTGTGATGTTTCATTCAGGGACTACATTCACTTTTTAACATTTTAGCAAACTACTGGAGATGTATGGGGGTGATATTGTTCAGCTGTTTGATAGAACAAAAGTTGATGAGAGAGTAGTATTGCTTTTATCATTTGCTGTTTTTTTAATGTCAGAATAACTTGATCCCATTTCTGTGTTGAGATTTATAAAAACAAAATATTTGTATTTTTTAGGGAACAATGGAGGACAAGATATATGATCGTCAAGTCACGAAGCAGTCATTGTCTTTCCGAGTAGTTGACCAACAGCAAGTTGAGCGTCACTTTACTATGAATGAGCTTACAGAGCTCTATACTTTTGAGCCAGACTTGCTGGATGATCCTAATTCAGAAAAGAAAAAGAAGAGGGATACACCCATGCTGCCAAAGGTAACATAATACACAACATTTTTTATAAATTTTCAGCCTTTTCAAGTGGGCAGT